TTGCCTTTCTTCATTTCTGGCAGAGGGACTCCAGCCCGGACTCTGCTAGTTCTCACCCCTCCCCCCCACCATCCCACCCCGGAARTGCACAAGTGTCTGATCCTGCAGTGGTTATCAGGGTGGGCGGGTCTCTATCCAAGCCCCAGGCTACCCTGCATTTCCCCCTTAGCCTCTTTCCCATGCTCTGCAGACTTGCACGTTCTCTGACTCCATATGCCCAGGCATCAGGGAGTCACTGARAATGCAACAATGGTACCACCTGGGGACAGGAACGAGTTCTGCAAATGGGGGAGTCTCAGATTCCCACCTGCCCAGCTCACTGGAATTATTGGCTCTATGAGAATTGAGGGTTCTGGGTGGGCAGGGACCCACTCATGTGGGAGTCTCCATCACTGTTATTACAGTTCTGTCACTGACTGTTAGGGTTTTTCTGTGCCAGAGACTGTGCTAGGCAACTTATATCCAGGAACTCTTGTCAGTCTTCTTGTCAAAGCCTTAGAAAACAAATGCTTTAACATCTCCATTCTGCAAAAAAGAATTGAGGCACAGAGGGCTTCACCCATGGACATCAGGTAATGTGCCAGAGCTGGGGTCTGAACCACTTCTGCACAACCCGTGCACCTTGGCAATCCCAGATGGCAGCCTGCTAAAGAAACCCACTCTCCATGGTCCCCTGGGGTCCTGCAGGTATAGTAGAGGTGAGAGCCATTGAAGGTCAGGGCTCTTCCCCAGAAGCCCAGCTCCCCTGCCCCTTTACTAGAAGTCACGAAGACATCCCCCAACACACACACAACACACACCGCACACACCACACACCTAACTATGCAACCATGCTCTGTGGAGTCTAAGTCCTTGTTTCTCAGTTCGGGGGACAGGCAGGGGCTGTACAAGGTGCTGGAGGGCTCTGAGCACAGGATAGGAGCATGAGTCAAAACACTGGGTGAGCTTTTATCAGAGCAGTATTTTTATATTAAAACAAATGCAGAAATATTATAGACAGGAATGTGAAACCCACAGGAATTTTGGAGATAAAAAAAAATGGAAGAGTTCACACTTATAGATGTGTGTGTGAGTCAGGTAGGGGAGGATTAGTATGGAGTCTAGTTTGTTCCCTCCACTCAGGTTGGGGTCAACTCTCTCAAGCTCAGAGGTGCTGGGTGCAAAAGTGAGAGCCCCCCAGGGTCATGGGAAACCTGTCTGTGCAACCACCGCACAACGCTCCATTCCTGGCTCTGCACACCACAGGGGCCACAGATATGCTCACAAAACATCTCACAACTTGTACAACACATAGGCAGTGCACTTTGGGGACAAGGGCTCCTGTCACATGGCGCACACGTGGTGGAAGCCCTGGGCTACCCTGGCAAAGTCACTCCCAGCTACAGATGGGTATCATACACACTTCTTGCAGTCAGACACTCCACAATCCATTGGTCACTTGTGGCACACTGTGCAGGAGACACACTAACTGTGCACAACCCTCTGCTCACAGTAGTCACGGCGGCCCAGGATCCCCCCCTCACCCCGACTCACCCCTGAGAATCTCATTAGGACCGTCACCAGGTGAGCAGTCCTGCCCTGCATGCGCGCCCCCACCCGCAGTCCCTTTGGCCTGCCATGCGCATCCCTCACCTGCTCAGCGCAGCACCAGTTCCCACGAGTCTAGTCGTCGCTCAGGTGCTGGGCGGCGAACCCACGAACGGAGAGGCAGGTGCCTCAGAGGCTGTGATTGCAGGGGCCCCAAATGTCTCTGGCGCCCGCGCGGTGAGAGCAAAAGGCGGCGGGGAGGAGCTGTGACTCTGACTGCTTGGCACCCGCGCTGGAGTCCCGCCCAGCCAGGATTGAGCTGGGCTGTTCGCCCAGGAGGGGGACAAGGAGGCGGTGATCCTGTCTGGAAGAGGCCGCGGGTTGCAGGGGGCGGCTCCTGGGCTCGGACCGACTGCAGGTCTCMAGTGAGGATTCCTTTCGGAGGGACTCCTACTCTGGCGTGTATGGGGGTGTGCGGTTGAAGTATGGTGATTTCTCCCATCTTCCCAACTCTGACATKCTACAGTTCCGGAATGGTGGAGTTGGGGGCAGCAGGGAACAGGGGGAGGAGTGAGGAAGAATATGAAGTATAATTTCTTGAGCACCTACTATGTGCCGAGCACTGTGCTAGTTATTTTAATGCATTACCTCATTTAAACCTATACCAATGCCAGAGATATCATTACTTCCATTTTACAAGTAAGGACACTGAGGCACAGACAGATGAAGTGACCTGCTCAAGGTCACATAGCTAGTTAGTGGTAGACCTGAGATTTGAAGCCACATAGTCTGACTTAAGAGCCCAACTATCCCTGAAGTGTGAGTCTGTGGCACTTTCCACACCATATACTGCTGCCTAGTGCTCAAAGAAAAAAACCCAGGAGCTCATTGTTATCAGCCCATTTTACAGATTAGGAAACTGAGACTCAGAGAGACTAGCTTGCTCTAAGTCACTTAGCTAGTGGGACGGCAGACTGAAGATGGGGGCAGGGAGGGAGCAGGGATGGGAGTGATGCCAGGGACAGTGAGTGTCAGGAGAGTAATGGGGTGCCTGGCATGTCAGTGCTCACCAAGGTCAACAGTCCTCCTGATTGTCACTCTGCTTCCCTTTTATCTTCTAAGATCCCACTGATGGCCAGGGACCTCCAGTTCTTCTGTCTCTGAAACCTCCCCTGACCTGCAGTTCCCAGACGTAAGCCAGCCCCTCCTCTCAGCTACCATTGCAGGTTTTATTCAACAGTTAGARTTCCGACTTTGTGCCAGGTTGTGGCACAAAGGCACTGAGGGTGAAGGACAAGAAGTGACATTAAAATTGAGACAGGAAGGAAGAGGGGCTCAGCCAGATGAAGGTGAGGGGAAGAGAATCCCAGGTAAGTGGGATTTGGTGGTGCACACCTGTAATCCCAGCGGCTCAGGAGGCTGAGGCAGGAGGATCAAGAGTTCAAAGACAGCCTCAGCAGTTTAGCAAGGCCCTAAGCAACTCAGTGAGACCCTGTCTCTAGATAAAATACAAAAATGGGCTGGGGATGTGGCTCAGTGGTTAAGTGCCCTTCAGTTCAATCCCTGATACCAAAGAGAGAGAGAGAGAGAGAGAGAGAGAGAGAGAGAGAGAGAGAGAATATCCCAGGTATAGGGAACTGCACTGAGGTCACAAGACAGGAAAGTCTTCCTCTTGCTGTCAGCACTGCGGGGAGGGGGTTGTCTCCTCTGCCTGTCTCATGTAGTCTCTGTCCCTAAACCACCTACAGGATGACTTTGCCAAGGATCAGTGACTTTCATGCCTCAGAAACAATGTGAACAGCTGTCAGTCACTCTATGGACATTATCGATGACTCTCCATGTGGCCTGTCCAGCACTCTTCCTGGTTCTTTTACTTCCCAGACTCCTCCCCAGACTGCCTCGCCCTCCCAGGGCTCAGTTCTACCCTCTGCTCTGCTCTATGCTTCTCCCTGGGGAAGGGCACCCTTTCTCCTTACCCATGTCTGCTGGACACTCACGCTCTCCATTCCCAGCCCCGTCTTTCTCCTGAGCCCAAGATCTACTCCTCCCTGGACAGATCCCCTTTGAGGACCACTKTACCCACTTCCCTACTGTAGTCCCTTCCACGTCCTCGTCTCAGTGACAGCTCCATCAGCTCCTGTGAGCCCTACAGCACTCATGTCAGCCCCTCCTCTGGGCTCCCTTCAGAGCTGCTATTCAACATATTCTGAATTCCTAGTGTGTGCCAGGATTAAGGAAAGATTTATTAAACAAAACACCACCAACAATGAAAGCACCATAAAGGAAAAAGCATTGATAAGCTCAGTATAGTGAAAAGAGAATTCTGTTCAACATCTAAAAACAYTAAAAACTACTACAACAACAAAAGTGAAAAGACAGACTACAGGCTGAGAGATCATTGCAACAAAATAACAAAGATTATTATTCAGCATATAAATGAACTCCCACACAYTGGTGAGAAAAATAACCTAATTAAAAATGAGCAAAAGAAAGGAGCAGGCATTTCACAGAGAGCAGCAAATATGGTTGATATATGTACAAAAAGGTGTTCAACCTGGCGCCTGACCTGGGAATTTTAAATTCTAACCACAGTGAAACACCATGTCACATATCTGATTAGCAAAAATTTGAAAGTTTGATAAATTTTGTTAAGAGTATAGAGAAAGCCTTAATTTCATACCCTGCTGATGGAACAAGCAATTGAGCAGAGTCAAGTTGAAGAACACTTTGTCAATACTTAGTGGAGTTGAAGATGCACCTAAGTCTAAGATGGAACATTCTACGTCACTGCAGAGAACTAGGAGAAACTCATGCATGTGTTGACATACATCACAGCGTTGATCTAACAGCAAGACTCTGGGAGCAATSTTAATACCCATCAACAGAAGAAAGGAGAAATAGATCCTTATGCGGCCACCTCTGGCTGTCTGAACTCTCCCTGTTTTGAAATTTGTTATGGTAGAGACTTGCAAAATYTTTACTAATAGAAAATCCAACGGTGAATCTGCACATGCTCACCAGCCTGACCCTGGGGGAGAGGACACGGAGAGCACTGCAATCCAGCTCRGCCTCCTCTCCGGAGGATGGGGTCACGTCTCATGCTCATGGTCTTTAAGCTTATTTGGGACATAATTGCTCTCTTCCCTCCTTGTTTAAAGAAATTGTTTTTAATAAAGTGGAAAAGCCTGAGGAGAAACTAGGTAATCCTGAGAGACTTCAGAAAGGCCCGTATGTTCGAAGAAAATGGGCAAGTGACCAAGTTCATCCTGAAGGCTAGACGTAAGCTTGGCTTACATGAAAGACGTAAGCCACATCCTCATCCACTCTAGGCAAGAGGACTTCTGCATGGGAGAAAGCAGAGCTCATTCAGTGCCCCAGAATGAAGTAATCAGTGGTTTCAATGCCTTAGAACTTTTGTGATGGTGGAGATATCCTATATGTGCTATCTAATATGGTAGCCTTTGGCCTCTGTTGTTCTTGAGCACTTAAAATATATCAAAAGCAGTGAACAATGAAGAGAAGATTAGCATGGCCCCTATGCAAGGTGACACAAAATTCATGAAGCATTCCATATTAAAAAAAATTTTAATGTATGTAGGGTAACCAGGAACTGAATTTTTTTTAAATACAAAGTTACTTTTTTTTCTTAGTTGTAGGAAGATACAATACCTTTATTCTATTTATTTATATGTGGTATTAAGGATCGAACCCAGTGCCTCACGTGTACTAGGTTAGCGCTCTACCGCTGAGCCCCAGCCCCAGTCTAGGAACTGAATTTTTAACATCATTTTTTTTTTGTATTGGGGATTGAACCCAGGGGTGCTTCTTTTATTTATTTATTTATTTAATTAATTTATTTATTTAATTTATTTTAAGACAGGGTCTAGCTCAGTTCCTGAGGTTCTCATTAAGTTACTGAGGCTGGCCTCAGACATATAATCCTCCTGCTTCAACCTCCCGAGTCACTGGGATGACAGGTGTGTACCGTCACCCATGCTATGTTTAAATTTAAATGACCTGTGGGCTGGGTGGCTGAGTGGCAGAGCACTTGCCCAGCATGTGGGAGTCCCTGATCTCAACCCTCAGCACTTCAAATAAATAAATAAATAGAAATAGACTTTTGTGTGGGCTGGGGATGTGGCTCAAGCTGTAGCGCGCTCGCCTGGCATGCGTGCAGCCCAGGTTCGATCCTCAGGACCACATACCAACAAAGATGTTGTGTCCGCTGGATACTAAAAAATAAATATTAAAAAATTCTCTCTCTCTCTCTCTCTCTCTCTCTCTCTTTAAAAAAAATAGACTTTTGTGACTATGTTGGACTGTACAACATTATATTATGCACAGATCATCGGGATTTATTATTAGTTTTAAAGAATTTTAATGATATTTGTGGGAAGTTAGTTGGGATTTTTGGATGAACTGGGAACTTTTTTTTTTTTACAGTTTTTTGTTTGTTTGTTTGTTTATGGTGCTGGAGATTGAACCCCAGGCCTTGTGCATGTGAGGCAAGCACTCTACCAACTGAGCTACATCCCCAGCCCAAACTGGAAGCCTTTTTGTTTATTAAAACTCTGCGATAGGAGGCTGGGCGCAGTGCTGTACACCTGTAATCCCAGTGGCTCAGGAGGCTGAGGCAGGAGGATCAAGAGTTCAAAGCCAGCCTCAGAAAAGCCAGGTACTAAACAACTCAATGAAACCCTGTCTCTAAATAAAACACAAAAAGATAGGGYTGGATGTGGCTCAGTGATTAAGKGCCCCTGAGTTCAATCCTTGGTACTAAAAAAAAATATATGTAGTATGAGTTTTCACTACATACAAATGTGCTATCAGGAACAGATTATATTCTAATAGTAAAGGGTGACTCTATATTCATATAATGGAACACTATACAGCAGAGAAAAAATTAATTAGAATGCCACCTCAAGAAGACTAAAATCACGCAAGCATCATGTGACTGAAACAGAAAGTATTCAAAGACATGAATTTTGTGACTAAGAGGTAGTGGTCACCTTCAAGGGAAAGGAGACGCAAGATTATTGGGGATACATGATGTCTTCTCTTTTTCTCCTGATTCTCCAACTCTTCCACATGCTCTGTGAAGATGAAATGAATGGGCCAGTGCAGAGAGGTGGCACCTCTCCTCAGAAGCCTTCTCTGGCCCCCTCCCCATCTGGAAGGGTTGAGGGCCTCTTCAGTGTTGGCCTCTGTGATGCCCTGGTCACTCTGGCCTGATGCTGTCTTTCTCCCCTCCCCAGCAGAGTTCTTCCAGGATCTGTGTCTGTGATTCACGGACCTATTTCCCCCACCCTGGACTGGTGGTCTGTAAATATGTAAATGAAGGAATGGACACAGGGTTCTGTTCGTATCCAAAGCCAACATCACTGTTCACGTGTTCTCTGATGCCTGTTCTATGCCCAGGGCTTTGCAGAGCACCAGGGACACAAAAGTGAATGCTCTTGGTGCCCAGCATCAGGGGAGAACAGACCAGGAGGTGGCAGATACTGGGACAGAAAGACTTGCACCGAGGCATAAGAACCCAGAGGAGGCTGGGGATGTGGCTCAAGCGGTAGTGCTCGCCTGGCATGCGTGCGGCCCGGGTTCGATCCTCAGCACCACATACCAACAAGGATGTTGTGTCCGCCGAGAACTAAAAAATAAATATTAAAAAAATTCTCTCTCTCTCTCTTAAAAAAAAAATTAAAAAAATAAAAAAATAAAAAAAAAGAACCCAGAGGAGTTTGGAGCCTGGGGGCGGTCAAGGCCCACGTGTGGCCTGGGCTGGGTGTTCAAGGACGACTAGAATTCTCTGGGTAAAGAAGGGGGAAGGCGTTTCTGGGAAAGGAGGCATCCAGTAAAGACTGGAGGTGGGGCTGAGCCCGGCAAACTCTGGGAACTTCATGAAGTTCAGTCAGACTGGACAGTCCAGTGGAAGGGAGGCAGGGGACAGAACAAGGCTCCCCAGAGGGCAGAGACCAGGTCCTGCAGGATCTCAAATGTCAGGCTGGGAAGCTCAGTTTATCCTGAGGGCTATGGGAGCCTTTGAAGGGTTTAGGCGGGGGTGGGACAAACTCCGAGCTGTGTTTTAGAAAGATGACTTGTGCTGGCTGTACAGTATAAGTGTGTGAGGGGGTCGTGTGAGGAGGTGGGGACAGTAGTTCAGGCAAGTGACCAAGGCAGTTGGGGTGGAGGAGGGCCGATAGGTGGGGAGATGATTAGAAGATGGAGCTGGGCTCTGGAGGAGGCAGGATCGCAGGACTTCAGCAGAGGGGATGTAAAGGTGGAAGAGCAGGAGCGGGTATCTGGCCTGGTTTCCAAAGCAGGCCTGAGGCGAAGGCCCAAGGACAAGTATGTGATCCAGTGAAGAAAGGAAGCCGTTCAGGGTGATGGCTGAGCAGAGCAGATTGGCACTGGGGGGTCAGTCCCTTGGGAACCTCCGGGAGGCTGTACAGAACATGCCCGGAGCTGTCTCTCCCAGGGGCAGGGAAGCTGGAGCATTTGTCTGCCAACTCCAGCTTCAGTTGGCTGATCCTTGAACTTTCCTCACTTGATGCCAAGGGTGCTGCTAAGGCCAGGCAGAGCCTGGGGTTCTCTGGGAGAAGATGGCTGGGATGGTGAGTGCTCAAGGTGCCACAAAGGCTGCTGTGAGGCGAAGGAGCCCCATCTGATCCCCACCAGCTGAGCTCCCAGGCAGCAGGAGAGGGGTCTTGAGGAGTGAGAGGGGGAGGCGTCTCTGGATGCAGTATTCTGCCCTCAGTCTTAGCCTTTCTTGCCTGGTCATCCACTGTCCCCAGGTCCTCCTGCCTGTGCAGAACATTGTTTTGATTTCCATGGAAACTGCTCCAGTCCTGGGACATGCTCACTCTAATTAGCTTACCTGAGTGGTCTGATCTCCAAACTCACACCCGGAAGCTTGGTGATGCTGTGTGCGGTAGCACCTGCCTGTAATTCCAGTGACTCGGGGAGGCTGAGGCAGGAGAATTACAAGTTTGAGGCCAGTCTGGGAAACTTAGCAAGACAGCAAGACCCTGTCTCAAAATAAAAAAATAAAAGGCACTGGGGATGTAGCTCATTGGTAAAGTGCCCCTGGGGGTTAAAAAAAAGGAAGGAAGAAAGAAAGAAACTTGATGCTTCTTTCATAAAATAAAATCCAGTCCCTAAGTATTGATAGCAAGCTAGAGATTTGGGATCTATCAGCTTAGAGCTTGGTTCTCCAGGCCATAAGGTGGGTGAAGGCATTTCTACTCTCTTTGGGATGGAGCCATCAGTTAAAGGAGGCAAGAGGAGGTGCCTGGGGATAGCACTGAGGTCCTCCTCAGCCAGAGCAGTAATATAGGCAGCTGAGCAGTGTGCTGTCACTGAGGCCAAGGGAGCTGGGCCTCAGAGAAATGCTGCAGGCACAGAACCAGGCCCAAGAACCAGGTCCCATTCACTTGGGCCCAGGATGGTCAAGAAGCCCTTGGTTCAACTGTGTCTGGCAGCAAACTTGCTTCCTCCTCTTCCTCTTCTTTCCCCCCTCCCCCTCCCAGCCTCAGCCCATGACCTCAGAAGCCTGAGCAGCTGGCAGCATCCAGCAAGACCCGCTGCTTGATGAGCTGTGTCTGGTATTTCTAGCCCTTGTCCTGTTGTCCCCACAGCCTTTGGCGCCTGCTGCCTCCTCTCCAGGCCACTGCTGCTCCTTCAGCTCTAGCCCCAGGATTCCCACTCCTTTCCTGAGGTCCAGAAGCTCCCAAATGGCTCCCATCTGCCTGTCAATCCGGCAGCCACTGCCAGCCAGGATCCTGTATGGGAGCACCGATTCCTGGAAGCTGCCTCTTTCCCATTCTCACCACATTCCACAGTCCAACTAAGTGTTACTTTGCAGTTCACAGCCCAGGAGTCCCTGCCCTGATATCTCCTCCTTAGGGCTCTGGATTCCTTTTCTGGCTCTATGCAAACTGACAGGAGGCCCCATAGAGCTCACTTTTACCAGACCCATGCGCAGAGCTCCTCCTGACACAAAAGTCATCATGCTCTCTGGCATTAAAAGGAGCATAGTGCCTATGATAAAGGAGGTGACAGTCCTCAAAAGTCTGCTTCTCCAACTCTGTGGAGTCCCTTGACCTCTACAACACTTGCCCTTGGGATGTAAGCCCACAAAGAGGGCCAGAAAATCAACAGGTGGAGCAAGAAGCCAAGTTGATAAGAAGGAAAAGGAGCACATTTTTCACTTGGTACCAATAGATCACTGCCCGTTTTTAAAAAATCAATTAACATTGTATGTTTTTATTGTGCACACATGATGTTATGCAGTATATGTACACTGTGGAATGGTCAAAACTAAATCCCTGTTCTTTTTATAGCAGATTTATTGAATGTGAGATTGACAAGACATTTTCATTTGGTAAAATGGTTTATGCTTCATAATAAAGAAAAAATTGACGTTTCCATTCACTTCACCTCTTTAGAAAATCAACAAATCAATACTGGAAAATTGGAAACAACATAAATAAGTAGATAAATAATGGCTAAATACATTATGGCTGTTTGAACAGAATAAGGAAGACTTTTATGTACTGGAATAGAAACACCTTCAAGAAAT